TAGAAGTAACCTCTGACGTCTTCACTTGTTTTTTCTTTTCTTAGAACAAAGTAGGCCAGACGCCGTGTTGCACAAACCGGACCCTTTTTCCAGCGCTAATGGCAATTGAGAAAGCGAGTCTTAATGTTGAATGTTGATCTAATCTGTGTGGGTTGAAAGCTACTAAATAAAAGAAGAGGAGAGGAACGTGAGAACAGGATACGAGTGCGAAAGGTTTGCAATGTCTCATTAAAATATAAAAGGTTTTTACACACTTGCAGAGAGAAAAAGCAGAGCTCTGCTTGCGTCCAATAATAATATCACCACGTCACTTCTACTCGTACCGGTTCTTCATACTGACCATGACAGGAGTTTCCACGAGGATGGCCAAAGCAAAGGCGAACACAGAAAATATTGTGCAAATATTGTGCTTCTGAAAAAGGGGGCAGACTTTTAAATCATAATAATTGGACATCATCCAATTCATCCCAATCCGTAGGATTATTTCACTTGGAAGCATAAATGTGCACACCGATGCACATGCTCACCAACACTGACGCACGGAGCACCACGCTGTGAAACGGCAACTCAGCTCAGGACGGCACTCTTTGTTTTTACGTGTAATTTATAGGACTTTTTCCATAATGTTGTCAGACACGTTTCATAACGATCTAATCCCGTCAGCGGAAAAATCAAGCACTTTTTGCGAAAGTACATTACCTGATGATGTTACATTACAGTCGATTTCATTCATTTCATTTAGGCAACAAAAACAAGGGGAAAAGTCCAGGTTGAAAAACGTCAAAGTCGACCATAAAAGTGAAATAAATCTTCATAGCAAATGATTTTGCATATTTCAGGTGAAATAAATTGGTTATCGTCTTTTCCAAGTGCCATTTTGGTTCCGGGCTGCCTGAAATGTGTTTTTTAATCTAGACCGAGTGGCAGTAACCTTTATCCATCTGCTTTTCCAAGATAAATACTGCTCAAAAAGAACAATTTTCAGCCTCTTTGACATCTGAGATAATGGGAAAAAGGTCAGAAAGGAAAGCGGTGGAGTCATAATAAGCATTCATACACCCAACGAGACGCAAACTCGGAGGTAATTCATTGCTTAATTCCGTCAGCCCTCCACTGGTGGAAAATACTCCAGACACACACCCTTAAGCACATGCACGCACGCACACACACACGCACAAGGACAAAATCCTTCCCCATATAGAAATGCATGCACACAAACCTTAATTGATAGAAACACACATAAACAAACAGAGGGGGCGATAAATGTATTCAAAGTCTCAGTACAACACTGCCACCTGATTAATGAGCCCATCATTTCTTTATGGGCTCTTTTATACGTTGTGATTGAGTTCTGGCCATAATTAAAGCAGAATTGTCTGGGTTGATTGTTGCATAGTGTGGGTACAAATGTAAGAATACACACACATTCCTTTGTATTCATCATCAGTACTCATCCCTCAAAGCATTTTCTCTTCTTCCGTACCTCCCATTTCATCCATCATCTTTTTCTGTCTTTAACCTCCTTGTAGATTAACATGCGTGTGCATCGGCTTGCTCCCGGTGCCATTTTTTGGGTGACACATGTAGGTCATACAGGTAGTGGCTATTCACTGTATCAATCCCTTTCACATCTGATGCACGCATACGTGCTAACACAAACACACACACACACACTCATGGAAAATAAATGTAAATTGTTACCACTCTCTTCTACACAGTGTCTCGTTCCCTGGGGCAGTTGCTGTTACAGGCTTGTGTTCATTAGCATTTACACCGCTGGCAATCACACGACTGTGGATTTTTTGCACCGATTGTCAGTCTCAGGCACTCACTTGGCGTCGAGGATTCAGCGCGACAGACACGCGGAGAAGAAAAAAACCTTGAAACTCCTCAGCCAAACATTATCTTCAGTTTCTAGTGAACACATACTGAGGAATTGTATAATGTCACATGAATAACACGCCTCAAAGAGAACATTTCAGTGGCCACTGATGCTGCAGCTAAGTGCAAAGATGAACATAAGATTTCTATTATCAGATGTGCGTCATACTGAAACCCATTATTAATGGCTGTAATTGGAAGACACCATCACCTAACATGGCAACATCAAATACTTTTTTCATTATATGAATACAACCCTCACCATGTCCTTTCCGTCTGTAGAGAATATCCTCTTTCAGAAAATGTTGCTGCCAATAGCACCCTCAACTATTGAGGAGCCTCCTTCCCTGCCTTGTAAGTGGGAAGTGGACACATCTCTCCGAGAAACAATGCGGCATAAAGCATCAGACACATGCGGATGGAGAGCTGTTAGTATCCCAGGAGCACAGCCAACGTGTGACTGCAAGTGGAGCGTTGAGCGAATTTTAACAACACTGTTAATGGCTTTGAGATCTTAGAGTGACAGGCTTAATGTCTTCCTCAATCCCATCAAGCAAGTCAATAATTGACTTTTTTTATAGTCTGTACCGGTGAATAGTTTCTCTGTTGGTTGAAAGTGGAACAATGTGAACGTCTACATACGCGCCGCTTGGCGGCTGTGGAAAATGCCAGTGCCTATGGCTCATTGAATTAACGTTACCTAAACTAATACGGGTATTCTTACACTGAACGCCCTGTACCAGCTAGATACTATGCTAATTACGTATGATGAAGCACTCGGTCAAAGCAAAGGACGCATGTGCGTCACCATGTCGGCCTTCTGGAGAGCGCAATCAAGTGCATTTCAGCCCACCGCTGTTGATTTGTGAGTCAGAAGCAGTCGTGTGTTTTTCGTTTTTTGTCGGTTCCACAAAAGCCTGAGAAAGTTGTATTTGTTGCCCTGACAGCCCCGTAGAGTAAAGGGCTCTTTGCGGCCGTTGGGCTTCTATACTTGTCTGCAGCAAAGCAATTTGAAATGACTGAGTGATCACCATAAGAGGGTTGCACGGGTGGGCTAAAAGGCTTTCAGACATTAAAAGGAAAGGGGATTCATTTGTATAGGCAGTTATAGAAACAGGATTATTTTATATTTCATCACTGTCGGATTTAACTCCACATTTCCCAGGACACAGCTGATTGTGTGGGAAACCGTTAATCGCGTCGCGTCACGCATACGCGTCACGCAAGTATCATACTACATGAAGGAATCTGATTCCTTCATCTATCAGTCTCCTCGTTTGTGGCTTAAAGAAGATACTTATCATATTCCTGAATTAATGTAATTAAAATACAAAAGGTTGGCTTTGCGTTTTCTTTCTCCTACTTTAATGACTAAACTGTTTCAAACACCGGTTAGCATATTAGCACTCAAGCTAAGGGGCCGCTGCTACAGTTCCTGTAGTTGAGCCGTTTCCCTGTGAGGAGAAAACACAGTGACTCGTTATCTATTCAATCCACAGCGTGGCATAATGTGACAAGTACGATGTCAGAAGAGTCAAGACGCAGTACTTCAGAACCATGGAAAACATTTATAATTAAGGATCTAAAATTCACTCACTGAGTGCTGAGACTCGAGTGCCAACATGTTGAAATCTCTAAATAATTCAGGGTTTATTTTATTAACATCTTAGTTCTGGTACAGAGTTCAGTAAGTTTGGCCTCGATCTTGGCGCCCTTTATTAATCCTGGATGTCCAATACAATCAGCACGAGCCTGATGGACACTTTATGTTTTATTCTTTACCAAGCCTAAAACAGTCAACATTTATTTTTCTTGATGCCTTATTATCGGTATTTTGAGCAGATACAGATACATTTTTTGTCTCCTCTAGTGTGCATTAAACAACATTTTATCATCAGTTCCTGACAGCAGCAACTACAACAATTATAATAACAACAATAAAGTGCAAAATAATCATGACGCTAGTTTGGTTTACTTTGCATTGCATTGTTAGAGCAGCAAGGTTTTCCTCAATGTCGGCGGAGGCGGGGATGGAAACGAAATAATTGCATCAATTACTTTTTACTCTATCTCAGCCTGACACACACGGCGCACTCACATGTGCACGTGGACAGAATTTAATAGCAGGGGTAAGTAAAGTACTGGCAGCAATAATGACAGTGTTTCCAGTAAAACAAGTGCAATAAAAGCAGGCTGGGTGACATAATATATAACTCGAAAGACACTAACTAATGCTTTCACTACAGCGAAATGCCAAAAGCTTCAAGCATTTAACTCAAGCACTGCACATGCACTCGTGTGAGGTCAGATCCGTGACACATGCGGAAGCACAAGAACATTCAGGCTATTTTAAAGTAGATTTCATGTATCACACAGTGACGTCTCCATTTTCTATTGCACGAACGTTAGGTAATGTTGTGAATGAAATGTGCGTAAAGCATTGATTGAATCGATCAGCTGCACAAAGGAGTCAATGTTCAACAATGAGAAACTGAGAAACTTCACTTTACAGTCTACAACACAATAAATAAGATTTAGGTTCGCTGTTTGCACAACAATGGAGAAAGATTTTATAGTGAGTTGGAATACTGTGTATTTTCTTTGGGCTTCAGTTGATCATTTTGCTGATAATAAGTATTATAACTATATATATTTTATTATGTAATTGTTATGTAAGTATTAGAAGTTTGTTTTCCTATTGCATTTGTGTTCATGGCAAGGCTTGATATTTAGTGTTTTATATTTAGTACATCATTGTCCATTTGCTACATTTATGTAAAGAGTTCATATAGTTTTAAATCAAGGGTTCCCGTAAGATTCTCACGGTTTTGAGAATGTTTCCATTTTTGGAAAGTTGGGAGTTTTGAAAAAGACAACCCTCACTTTAAAAAAGCTAATATAGATCGCCACTGAGCTAAAAGCTGAAATGTTGAAAACGGTCTACCAAAATCGAACCTGTTACTTTGAGTGCGCAGTGATACGGAACGCTCGGGTCAATGTGAACAGCAAATGTACATTATCGCTCAATAATGTACCCCTGGTGACTCATTGCCAACCAATCAGAAAGCTGAATTTCATCTACCCGTATTATAATATAGAATAAAAAAATGTTCCCTAACCTGTTTGCTCTCTTTGTTGCCTCCTCTCCCCTCTTCAGTTGTCAGTTTATCCGGACACAAAAGTGCTCCTTTCTCTTGTCGGCCCCCCTGTGTGTCCTCCTGACGAGGGACGCTGCTCCGGATGAAGGCCGACGGTTGAGGATGTACACATAGATGTACTCTTGTAGTACTCGGTCGGGGTCTTCTGTGGTCCTGCCAGCGCTACAGGACACCAAACAGGGCATGCGGCTGAAAATGAGAGGAATGAAAATCAAAAGATGGAAAAACTACATTTTTAATGTAGTGTGCCAAGCTAAATAAACATGTGTGAACAGTTGCTTAATTCATTAAATTTAAAATCTATTTGTTTATGTTTACAATAACAAACTGGCAAATTTCAGCTTTGGCGACGTTGTAAACTATAACTTTTAAAATGTTTCCTAATTGTGTAAAATAACAGTAAAAGTAAATAAGTTTCACTAAGCACTCCAGAATTTTAACACATTTTTATTTCCTTTAAGTTGAGACTGTCAGAAAGATAGAAAAATGTACGAGAGGATGAGCTGAGCGAGAAGAGAGGATTTCAGAAGAATACAGACTGAAACATCGACAAATAATATAATATCCTATTATCAATCTTTTCCCATCTATTTGTTTCTTCCGCCCCATTTCTCCTTTTTCTCCATTTGTCTTTCTTTCTCTTTGTGATACTTTCTCTTGTGACATTCCAGCCACTGTGGTTCACGTAAAATAACATTACCCGAGCAGACAAGCGGGTTAAGAACAATAATGATGATATTAATGGCCGATGATGATGCATCGGAAGGTGTGACAGATGGTTTTGTGCAACCACATATGATGAGATGTTTCCATTGGCGAGCAGGACACCTGTCACATCCCACCTTAAGCACACAACATACATACATGGCTCTCTCTTTCTCTCTCTCTCTCTCTCTCCGCTGGTCTCTCCTTATTTTGTCCATTTCCTTCTTTTTCTCTCTCCTGTCAGCACGTTCACTACCGACTCAGCCAAGCGGGACGTCTCATCCTTGGCAGTAATAAAGGACTCCACCTGCTGCGCCCTTCTTTAAGTTAAATGGAGTGGTACGATTCACTGGATCATGACTGCAACGTAAGTAGACACATGCATGTGCGCTTTACAAAATCACATGCACACCAAGGGAAACACATCTTATGGGCTTTTTCTCATGGCACACTATACTATAAGAAGGGACACAAGCGCACACTCTGCGGACAGTAAAACAAACACGTGCGCTTCACACAACTGTTCTTGTGCTTGCTTGGAACTGAAACCAAAACCAAACCAAAAATAAGACTAAAAAAAGACGCAGAGAATCAGACATCAATGAAGACATTTGTCTTTCGGTCTTATCGCATATTTGCTCAGCAATAACTTCACAAGAATAACAGCACTGACAAAATTGAAGCCCACTTGAGGCAGACTTGTTTGTCCTGTTCACATTTTCTTTTCATCCCTGGAAAACAAATGTTATCTCATTTAATTTCTCCTGAATGTTGATTTTGTAGTCGTTCCATTTCTAGCATATCTTCTTGTTATACCCAGTGTTTCTGTGACAGAGGTTGATATGGATTTCCTTGCGAATCTTAAAAGGGCCACACCAGGGCTGTCAGTTGAACTATAAATAAATATTGCCCGTATTTATCGCACATTCACTTGAACCACTTCCATTTTTAAAAACTCCAAGAGGTTTCCCGCAGGTCAACCTGTCATCTTTCCAACCAAGATGTTGAAATCTAATGGCCAGATTACTTTCCAATGTGATGGGGATATTTGCGCTCCCTGAAGGATGGATTCTGGCATCTTGGGTGAACTCTCTGACCTTTAATGTCGAGGCAGCAATTTCCAGCTATGCACAAGCGGTCTGTTCAGAGCTGCCAAGAAATTAAAGAGCCGATGTGTGCACTCTAGAGAATTACACCTTTGGACTCATTTATTTTGTTACCGCATGGCTTGTCTGATGTGACGTAGTCAGGATTTCGATTCTTATCTCAGCTTTGTATTGGACGATCTTACGAATAGAATGACAGCTTGTCTGACGACTCCCAGTGTTTATTCCTACTGGCCCAATTCTACAGACCCTAAACACATACGCATTGAACCTATCTTACAGATGCGTCTCTCGTTCTCAAACTTGTTCTTCCTCTCATACTGTGATTACATCAAAGTGAAGCAGCTGCTGACACGATGGGAGGGTTGTAAGGGAATCAGGCCTTTTTCTTTGGTTGAGCTGTATACACACACAATTACGTAGAGAAGCCTTACTCATAGGTGCACTTCTATGGCCTCCACACAATCGCTTACAGACTCTTATGTGGGTGGCTATATACTTACTTTTTAAATAACATCGTAAATGAGTTTCTATTTCTGGTTTAAATCTAAACAGCGTTCACTTGTTACTGTGTGTCTTGGTGGGTTCTGAGGGAATGGTGTGAGTCAAAGGCTCATGGCTCATTTGCATTGCCAGTGCGTCCTTAAAGGCTTGTTCACTCTATGACAGCTTTATCCTAATACCCCACATACTGCTCACTGGCCAATTCATACAGAGCAAAGCCTTGTTCATTTATATATAAATACTGTATATATACTAGGGCTGTGAATAGATTTTAAAAATTGACTAATTAATCGCACATTAAGAAATTCATTCACCTTGATTAACGGCGATTAATGAATATTGTTGTTGTAACAATGTTGGTTTTCTTCTAAAGACTAAATCTTACAAGTAATGAGTAATCACTAGAAAAACGTTTATTTTCGACACAGTTATTTAATTGTTAATGCTTTTATCGTCTTGGAGCCAGAATTCCACCGGGGGGAACATGTTGAACTAGCAACTCTTCCAGCTAGCTTAGCCTAGCAGCTAGCTTAGAAAAGTGGTGCTTTAAGTGGTCCGTTTGACACTTACCCCCCTTTTGTTTGACACGTGGAAGAATTCCTCTGCACAGTTCCCCGCTGTATGCCACGCCTCTGTTTGTTTTACTTCCAATGCAAAAATCTCTCTCCATCTTGAGCTAACGTCTTGCTTTCTCCGATGTAACTGACTGCAGCTAGCTAGCGGCCGCTTCCGCGGTCAACTTTCGGTTTACTTCCGGAAGTAGAGGAAGTAGAGAGGACGTAAACCGGAAGTAAACAAAGCTACGTTAACTACGTTAAAATATTTTGTCACATTTATCTCGGACCCATCAATCGCATAGATTAATGCGTTGACAGCCCTAATCTATACACATTTCTCACTGCACGTAACAGAATCAGAGACAGTCTCCTGACGCAGACAGCGAGAGCTATTTTATGCAGGACCCGGACGCTCCTAATATGAGCTGTTTCCGGTCCTTTTTTTTTGTCGATCACCCGTGAAATGTAGGTGATGTTAATTCATACATGTCAACAAATCTATGTGCCAAATGTCATGATTAAAATCAATAAATATTTACATGTCTAACTACTGCGGGAAAGTTACTTTGATGAGAGAAAGTAGTAAGACTCACTTGGGCGACGGTTGGGTAATGCTGGGGTGACGATGAAAGAGCTTTTCTTGCGCTATTTCGAGGTGTTGAAGCGGAATATCTTATTTTGAAAGGCCAGAATTGGGTTGCCGGATATGGTAATTTGGGCGAAACTTTAACCAATGTTTAACCTGTGCACAAAAAAAAAATTTACAATTACGATGGACGTCGGTCCGGGTCACGCCTACAGCAGCGCACGGCTAATTCACTGGCGTCAGCGACCTTTTACCGACTCTAGTTCCAAATATTTTTACTTTCATAATTAAAGCATTATTTGGCTCGAAAGGTAATGAGCCTACGTCTACCGTTCAATCCGCTAAAAACATTACACGATAATTTGTATCAATAGTTTTAGCGGATAGTTAGCTAAAAACGGTCCGCGTTAGGAGACAGTGGCGTTAGGTGAAAAGGAGATGTAATTAGAGAACCCATCAACATGTTTGATCCACTCCAATGTAAAATGGACCAGGCTGGCCTGCTGTTACATAATGATAACAATGCTGCCTGTAGACAGGTGTACAGTGGTCGTAACGCCTAATTATTATCAGCATTACTTATGTCAGCTGTGCAATTTTCCTCACTATTCCATCACTGTGAAAATCCTAAAATCTTGAGTATTAAAAGGACTTACTCCCCTTTCTTTGGCGTGTTCAAAATCTTGTGAGTAATATTTTGAGTCTGCAGTCCGCTGCGTGTCCAGTCGGCCTCTTGTGCTTTGCTGCGCTTGAGTTTCTAATTTCAGACAAATCATTTCTTGAGCATGAGAGATCCTTGACCTCTCCATCTGTATCTCAGTATAAAAACATCTTTTAATTATCTTCACACGATGAATCACGATATGACACGTTGCATCACTCACTCTGTATTATCTCGTGGTGTGTTGAAAGAGCAATGAACGGTACCTTATCATGACTGAAATACTTCCACTTTAATGCCTACAAAGATATAATACAAACTCTATTTAATAGTCAAATGATATTGCAGGAAATCTCCCTTTCACGTGAATAAATTACAGTATCAGGTGGAGTTCATCCCATTTGTAATTTGATTGTATGCAAACATCCAATCATGATAACTAATCCTGCATGATATTTGTGGGATCATCAGGCCGAGAAGCCAGTTCAGACGGAATTATATATTTGAAACCCATTGTTACAATGTATTTATAAATAACCAATTCATTGGATGATGTGAAGCACACAATACCGCAACACACTGTTACACTGCTACACTACAGAAATATAACCCCAAACTCCCGGGGACTCATCCATTGTCGGACCAATACCCAATGGCTTCTGAGATTGGGTTCACCCAGAGGTGGAAGACATCAACTCAACACACCTTGTCCGTCGCTTCTATGTCTGAATCCATGCTCATAACAAAGTCCTATTGGGCAAAAACTACCAACAAAACTTTTTCGTTTTAATAACCTATTGGTAAAGAAAGTGAGGTGCCAAAAAAGAAAATGGTTTCTTAGTCTGAGGAGTGTTTAGTTTGAGAACCAAGGACAGATAACAATGACTGAACTCTGAGACTGAGACATGCTGGATACATTTCTGTCTGATTCCTGCTCATCTAACAGTTTGTGTATGAGTCAATTGAAGTCAGACAGGTTTTATTAAAAGTAAAGGCTGCTGGTAAAGTGACAGTATGCGCATAACTTTCTTGTGGTATGAGGTCTACAGAGTGGGAGGACTTGAAAGCAG